GTGTATATAATCACCTTGGGAGGGGGAGGGGGGTATTTTTTTTACTATATAATGGGGGAAAAACAGACATTTAAAAAGCAACATTTTCCCTACGTTATGTTAAAAAACATTTATTCTTACCCATATTTTTGATAAAATATAAAAGACAGGGTCACGTCGGGTAAATAGACACCAAACATGGCTAGCCTTAAAATTGTGCACACCCGCAAAATCGCACAAAATGACCACACTGAAAATTGGCCATAGGTGACGCTTTAAACGCTTACACCACTTATCAGTTTAGTGTTATCAGTGATTAATGGCCCTAAAATTATTGCTCACACACCGACGTTCGTGGTGATATGCAACATGTGCGGCACAATAGGTGCAATCGTCGTTTTCGCACGTAGGCACACCCGACGCATGTTTGCATGTGTATTTGGGGGGCGGGGAACTTAAACAAAATTTTGTGTTTTTTTTATGCTTCTTTAATTTTTTTAAAGTTTTTTTCATTTTTTTTTTACACTTAACTTTATTGCTATCACATATGAGGCTAAGAAGATCCCCATGTGATAGCTAGTTTACATGACAGGTCCTCTTCATAGAGACATCAGGGGTCTCCTAGAGACGCTCGATCTCTTGAATGTAAACCCCCATCGAAGAAGCTCCTGAGCGGCTGTTAAATTACAACGGCCGGCTGGGAAGCTGGAACCAGTCCTTCCTTCTCATGTGCCCTCTGGAATTCCCGCTCTGTCTGTAACAAACTCAACACTGTGCATGATCTTCTTATCTCCAATTAATTTAACATGCTTGTAGTTACTGAAACCTGGCTCCAGGAATCTGACTCTTCCTCCCCTGCTGCCCTCTCCCATTGCGGCTTACATTGGACGCACACTCACCCAGACCCAGTAGATGGAAAGGAGGTGGAGTGGGAATCCTTCTATTCCCACAATGCACTTTTCAAGTTCTGCCTTCACCTCCCTCTCTACCCCTCTCCTCTTTTGAAACCCACTGTATGCGCCTATTCTCTCCAATTTCTTTGAGGATTGCTGTGATATACCGGCCGCCTGGACCGGTATCTCGCTTTCTTCATGACTTCTCTGCCTGGCTACCCTACTTTCTCGCCTCAGAAATACCCACTATCATTCTTGGTGACTTTAACATTGCTATTAACATTAACACCCCAGCTTCTGCTCAATTTCTTAATCTAACCTCTTGTTTTGATGTAACACAATGGACACACACTTCCACTCACTCTGATGGTAATATACTAGATCTTGTTTCCTCCCACCTATGCACACCCTGCAAACTGGCCAGCACCCCTTTCCCCCTCTCAGACCACAACCTTGTCAGTTTCACCCTCACCCTATCCCCGACCCTACACGGCACACTGTCACCAGGAGAAACCTCCCCAACCTCGACCCTTCTCTTCTACACTCTGCTCCTGACTACCTCTACGACAAAATCTCACCCCTGTCCTGCGGTGACCTGGCTACTTCTGTCTACAACAGCTTGCTCTCATCCTCCCTAAGCACCATGTCTCCCCTCACTACACACAGACTTAGACCACGTCCACTACAACTGTGGCAAACAAAAGAAACCAGACATCTAAAAAGACATAGCTATGCTCTTGAGCGACTGTGGCTAGGCTTCTGCAAGACTTCACCCTGTATAAAGCTGCCCTCCTAAAATATAATTCCTCCCTCCGTGCTGCCAATCTTATTTTGTAACTCTCATTAAGACACTCTCATCCAAACCTCATCAACTCTTTTCTACTTTTAAGTCTCAACTATGTCCTCCACCGCCACCACCCACTAACTCACTCACTGCCCAGGACATTGCCATTCATTTAAAAAACAAAATAGGTACAATTCGGGATCAGACCAAACCAACCTCAATAATCTCAGACCAATCTGCTTACTCCCATTCAGTCGCCACCTCACTAATAACAACCTTCTCGACCCCTTACAGTCCGGCTTCTGATACCATCTCAATGCCGATGACACTCAAATCTATCTTTCTACTCCACAACTCACCCTCTTAGTGTCCTTGCGTGTCACTAATCTACTAACTGACATATCCGTCTAAATGTCACAACACTTATTAAAATTCAATCTGTCAAAAACTGAGCTCATGATATTTCCTCCCGGACGTGCACCTTCACCCAACTTTTCCCTTGAGATTGATAGCACAACTATCCATCCCTCCCCCATGCCAAGGTCCTAGGTGTCATCCTTGACTCAGACCTCACCTTTCTGCCCCACATCTAATCCCTATCCAAATCCTGCCGCCTTCACCTTTGTAACATCTCCAAAATACGCCCCTTCCTCACCAATGAAACTACAAAACTGATCATCCACTCACTTGTTATCTCTCGTCTTGACTATTCCAACTCCCTCCTCATTGGCCTTCCACTACACAGGCTATCCCCCCTTCAGTCTATCATGAATGCTGATGCTAGGCTCATTCACCTTACCAACCGCTTAGTGTCTGCAACCCCCCTCTGCCAATCCCTACACTGGCTTCCACTCGCCCAAAGGATATAATTAAAAATATTAACAACCACTTACAAAGCCATCCACAACTTTCCCACGGGATATATCTCAAACCTTATCTCAAAGTATCACCCTAGCCGCCCCCTCCGCTCTTTTAAATACCTCCTCCTTTCCAGCTCTCCCATCAACTCCTCCCATGCTCACCTCTGGGACTTCTCTAGAGTCTCTCCCATCCTCTGGAACTCTTTACCCCAACCTGTCCATCTATCTTCCCCCCTGACTGCCTTTAGGTGATCCCCAAAGACTCATCTATTCAGGGAAGCCTATCCCACCTCAACCTGACCACTCAACTATCACGTTCTCAAACAATTCATCCCCACACAGCTCCCTCCTCATGGATCACTTGCCCCTCCCTTTTACATTGTAAGCCCTCACGGAAGGACCCTCCTTACCATCTTGTTTTGAATTGTATTGTTAATTGTAATGTCTTCTCTATATTGTAAAGCGCTGCGCAACTGTTGGCGCTATATAAATCCTGTATAATAATAATTGAATGCAGTTTGATGTCCAGCCTTCCTTCCCCCATCTCTCCTAACAAACTCCGTACCAGCTCTGCTAGTTTGAAAATGCAGAAGCCTGAGCTTTGAAACAGTGAACAAGGGATAACAATTGCAATGCTTTCCAGGCTTGAATGCAAATATTAAAGAAATGTATATTATTTTTATATATTATTAGTTATGCATCTCTTTAATTTGTGCAAAAAGTGAACTTATCCTTTAATTCTCTGTGATAATTGTTATATGTTCACTTTTGAATTTCAGTTCACCTAATACATAGAAGGGCCCTTGGCAAATAGAGGCTTTCAGTGTGTCTTGGCAAACCCTTTCTGAGTAGGTGAAGCATCTTTAAACAAAGTGGCTATTAAAACCACAAATAATAGCAATAATATATGGAAAAATCTTACACAAACTGTGTCATTGCCAGGAAAGCATAAAAAGGAAACTAGAACCCTATTCACAGCCCAGAGTATTTGTTTTCCTATTCTTTCAGTTCCTTTATATCAATTTGTTAAATTCAGCTAAAATAGAACACTGCTATTACTTTTTTTTTGCAAAAGCTTAAGTTATTAGCCATACAATAGCCTTACAAAAGTGGATGTAATCCCTGACAATCAACTTCTCTTAGTTGCTCCCTTATGAACTGGTAATTATACTATTGAACTCATTTTGTTATATTTGTTTGATAAAAATAAAAAAAACATCTGTTGCTCCTGCCAGAAATCTTTATTTCCTGATAATTTCTTGTGCAGCACTATTATCAGTTACATTGTCAAAAGACAGAGAGGTGTTCTGTAGTCCTGTCCTAGGGTGACAACGCTGCTCATCCTTCAATATATTTAGTAAATGAGCATTGTCACTCTAACATAGGAAATGTGTTACTGGCAGTAACACTATGTGAACATCTAAGGACTAATAAGCTGCAATATATTACATTTTGTTCTTTGGTTTAGATACACTTTATGGTTTATAGATAATACTTTATGGTTGTGACTTATGCTGGACATACACCAGACGCATTTGTGCCAATTTCAATCACTTTTAACATTTAATCACAAACTAACAAGACTTGTTATCCTGTGTTATTGGTTGACTGTTTTGTTTTTTTGTGATCTAAAGCTGCTTGAAAATATAGTGAAGGTGGGTGAAATTGCCACAGGGTTTCCTAATGATATAGTCAATATAGAGCTTGTGCACATACATATCAAACATATTAATGTATGTAGTACACATAAGGTCCAGTACACACCTGCCATTGTCAAACACTACCATCACCATTTTTTATCATACAATAAAAGGTATCCTCTACTTTAAGTCATATGCCCTACATCAGCTGTTAACAATATCAATCTATTGTATATTATCTATAATAACATTGTAAAAATAATTAATGCAGCTACTTGCTTGGCTAACTGGACTGTACAGAAAAAACTTTTGTCTAGCAAACCTGTGGATTTAAAAAGAAAACTATGATTATATATATATTGTATATGCTATCACTCTACACAGAAACCAATTCACAATTATTTTGTGTAAGTATTATTGAGTAAACAAAGCATTCTTTCAATCGATTGATGTGAAATAATCAGTGGCCATTGAAAAGAGCTTCTGAAAATTGTGCCATTTATCCATTGCATCATATGCACATACATAATTCCGAGATAAAAATAGCAGAACACTTGACAGCATTCAATAGAGAACCCCTCCTACTGCTCTGTGTTCATCACTGATGAGATATTTGAAGAGTCTCTGTCTGCAAGGCAATAAGGCTTTATTGGCTGAAATTCAGTAAGTGAAACTGAGAAGTTTATTCACTATACATACACACCGATTTCAAAGGATTTAAATGACATATAAGGGCTCCTATTTAACATCACGAACTACAATAGCAACGCAGCACTGAGATCTTGTACGACTGTCACCTAGCAGCTGTCTTCATCTCCATCTGTCACCATAAGCTCCAGAATTAATGGATCTGACTCTTAGGACCAAGCTACAATATGGGGCAATGTTTTTTGCACTGTTGGGATGTGTGCTTACCTGTGTTAGCACTTTTGTGCCTCTCTGGAAGAATCTGAACTTAGATCTGAATGAAATGGAAATTTGGAACTCAGGACTGTGGCAAACATGTGTTATTCAAGATGAAGGTGGAATGCAGTGCAAGGACTTCGATTCATTTTTGGCTTTGCCATTTCAGCTGCAGATGGCAAGAATTCTGATGTTCCTCTCAGATGGACTGGGGATCATTGGCCTCATTGTTTCTTGCTTGTGTTTGGACTGCCTGAAGACTAACGAAAAGAACACCAAGAAATACCTTGCACTTTTTGGAGGAGCACTATTCTGGATGTCTGGTATCACTGCTCTGGTGCCAGTTTCTTGGATAGCCTATGACATTGTCCAGGAATTTTGGGATGAGACAATCCCTGAAATCGTGCCTAGGTGGGAGTTTGGAGAGGCCATGTTTATGTGCTGGTTTGGCTCTTTCTTCCTTATGTTTGGGGGCTCATTGCTGTTTTGTTCAGTGTACTTTGCGACAGAACAACCTATAAGCTCTCAGACTAAAAACAAACATGTTGGGCTATCATATGACCCTGCAGCACTACAAAACAGATGTCCAGATCTCATCATCTAAACACCCTGCAAATGAATCATTCAAGAGGACTTCTAGCATATGTGCCACAGAACATATTCTATTTTATGCATGGCAACATTTCTTATACTTTGCAAGCAGACACTACGTTAACATCAAGCTGCTACTTTGTAATGGAGGACGGCGATGTCTCTTTATGCGGATCTGTATACATTATTGTATATTGTACATATGCTGTTGTATTGCACATGGTTATAGCATTAGCCCAATGTAATGTCTTTTTCAGGGTTCTTGCAATTTTAATGTTATTTACAGGTTATATTTCTTATGCAGTGCTCAAGAAGCATATTCTGACATTGCCAAAATAAAAACTGATGTTCTTCAGATTTAATGTAATTTAAAATAAAATGTATAGTGTTTTTATTTCTACTGACTGGCAAACTACATGTGTTGTTAATAAATTAGAAAACATTTACAATACCTTAAAAGACTCTTGTTGTACCTTCTCCTTCAGTACATTGCTGACTTTTGTCTTTTCACAGGTTTGACAAAGCTCATTTAATATTTAGGAGCTTGAAAGTTGCAGATAACCCAGTTAGAATATCCTGTCCTGTACGCAGGTTTCATTGCTGGAGCTCACATAAAATTTCTGTATGACAGACAGGTCAGTCATTTCCTCGGCTACCAGAGATACAGAATTGCTGTGAACTCACAACTTGAAAGAAAAGATACGGGTGTGTTTCATACCAGCCACACTGACGGGATTATTCTGCATCAGTCATCCAGCAATAATATCACATTAGATGCCTCAACATAAATGGATTTAAGACACATTTATTGCCTCAGAAATCCTAAATTACTTACCCGTCACTAAATTGACATAGGTCACAAAATGCGATTTATTAATACTTTTCAGTCTCACACCTGCAAAGATTTAAAAAAGGGCATTTCCAGATTTACCTTTTCAATATACATATTCAAACCGAGAATCAGGTTGGTAAATGTAGCAAATATAAAATCCACATTTTACACATCATTTTTCTTCTAAACAGTGCATCCAAAAAAACAAAAACTGTGCGCACACACAGGTGCATAGCTGTTCACATTCCTCGTTATCAGGTTTTTGTGCTGTAGCTGGTGTTGGAGATAAAAGAACCTGTTTAAAAAGAAGAGAACCCTTTTCCTGGTTTGATTTTTTTATACTTCCCCTTGAAATTTAGTTTGCTGGTTTCTTACATCAATTCGTTCCTTTCAGATTGATCTGTTTTCTGCTCATTTGTTTGCTTGTGTCACATATTCTATTGATTTACAGTCATCAGTGGTAAAATTCAGAAGCTTACCAAGAACACTTACCAATTTAGTTTGATATTAAAGGAGAACCATGGGGTCAGGGCTTTTCGCGGTATACTGAGACGCCGCAGCCGGAGCGGATCCCGACATCGATGTCGAGATCCGCCCCGCTGCGTGAGTGACAGCTGGCTCTGCCTATCTAGAGCTGTACCCGCCCCCTCCCCCGTCCGTTCTGCCAGTCAGCGCTGGTCGATTGGAGCGGGGAGGGGGGAATCCATCCCCTCCCCTGTCACGGCAGAGAGCCGTGACAGTATCGAGAAGTGAGCGAACACCAGCATGTGTCCGCTTACCTCCCGATCTACTGAGCCGACCTGTGACAGTCTCATTGTCACAGGTCGGCTAGAACTATGAGGTGAGTGAAAAGCACTCACCTCATAGTTCTCCTTTAATACTGTCATTTCAGTACTTGCAGTGAGGACTCACTAGGTGGGTTTTTTTTGTCACTTAAAATTTTTAAATGTCTTTATGAATCTGGGAACACGTGTGTCTGCCTTTTAGCCCAATCTCTTCACTCTCTAAAATCACTTCCTTACGTTGCTTGCATTAAGACCTCCAAGGAACGATTGAGTTATTCCATTTTAGACACATTGCAATCCCTCTACAGCTTCCTATGTAATATTTAGGGCAAACCCATAGATATGTCATCTCAGACCTTACATTTCTAAATCAATGTCTATTTAGCGGAAACAGCATTTTGTACTATGGTGTGGTGTGTGGTATTTTTACTGTTATTGGGTTATGTGAGTAGGGGTAACAACTACCCCTTACTTATTCACAGGGGCGGAGGGCATGATCAAAGTGCCCCCTTCATGAATTGGGGCACCCAGATTCCTCTGAGCCCCCCTGCCCACAAACCCCCACAACCACTGGGCCCTTCCCATGTTAAGCGCATGTGCCCTTGAATGGTGCGGGGCGGGGTGCGATTGCCCCCCCCCCTTTCCTGCTCTGGCAGGCTGCTGCTTGAGCCAATGACCTGGTATGGGATTTTGGGGGGGATGGGGGCAAACACTATTTTTGTCTTTTTGGCATTGGGGTCCCAGTATAATTACTACCAGACCTAAAGGGTCTGGAATGAATTGGGGTCAAGCAACTACACACTTATGGTTTTTTTATTGCACTTGGGTGTAACAGCTTATATCCCACCCAGTGGCATCACAAGGGCGGCCTGCACCCGGGTGACACCAGGGGTGACACCAAAATGACTGGCAGTCATTTTGGTGTCACCCCCTCTAAAAAGTCGGGCACTCAGTCATGGACCGAGAGCCCGACAGTCTCAGGAGAGAAGGGGACCCGGTGGTATACCTCATCCCGCCGGGTGAAAATACCCTCCTCTCTCTGCTGGCGTCCATGACCAAAATGGCCGCCGGCAGGCGTCATCAGATGGCCGTGCACACGCGATGACGACACGGCGTGGTGTCACCCGGCCTCGGGACGCCCCTGATCCCACCCTTAGAATCCCTTTCTTTCCTAACTGGTTCCTTTCTACATCTATGGGGCCCACTTACTCTTATCCACTTTAACACTCAATTTCCTCCTGGCATGTCTCCGGCTATAGTTATGAACCTTAGCCAGATAGCAGATCTCCAGATGCAACACATTCCAAGGAAACCAATTAACTGCCTTCATCAAGTCACTAGCTAGAGGAACTGTACTGAATTGTGTTTTGAACAACTCTGCATTACCACTGAAAGGGTTCTGTGGACAATTTCGAAGTTATACACGCTCCTCAGAGGGATAGAATTTATAATAGTGAACTTCCTTTAAGACTGCATAGGGCCCTAATCCAAACATCTAATGACTTCAAAAAATTATTATCAGTCTGAATTCTGACTCCCTCCCTCCCTCCCCCAAGTACTATACATCTGAACACACCTTAACAATTAACCATATGAATGTATGGAGACCACTGTCGCATCTCCCCAAGACAATCTTTTCCTTTTCCCCTGTGGGGTTTCTGAGTATAAGTAATTTGCACCTTTGTAAGTCCTAGTCCTCGGGCTTCGGACATTCAGCCATGGGACGATAATCTGATATGTTGTATATATGTCTCAGTACTGTTTACTTTGTCTGTTAAAACCTGATTTCTTATGCATTTCTTAGAGGTCTGTTGTCAACGACCTCAACCTTTGCTCTACCCCTACTACCCCTACCCTTCTCTCTCCTGCCTCCCCCGATATATGTGTAAAATGTAATGCTTAACATGTTTTTTTTTTAACTCTGCCTTAGTTGTTGAAACATTTTCGCCACTATCTAAAGCCACTTCATAATGTTTTTAAAAAAATTGGGCAACCTACCAGTTGAGCTTTATAAATAACAGATGGTCAAGTCTTTCTGGAAATCAGAAGGGTAAAAGAAGTAAGAGGGTGAATGCAAAACCTTGTCATCTCACAACAGATACTGAAGAGTTGACTGCAGGTAGCAGATGAGTCAATATAAATGACATGAAGACATTAAATGGTGGAAGTGAATAAAAGATGGGTAGAGTTCTCAGAGATGTTGCATTTGTCACTAGTTTGCCTCATTTTACATAAGGGCTCTAGGAAAGTCAGAACACAAAAATGTTATGCTATGCAGCACAAGTTCAGGAGCTCCAAATTAGGGTGGAGTGCTACATATTTACTGCTCAGTGATCTACATTAATGAGGTCAGCCCTACAATGTCAAAGGTACCGAATGGCGCCAGGTTTAGTCCATAATTCCACGTGACACAAAACTTGCATTTATACGTCATGTTTTCACCACTTGGCATTTTTTTTGTAATGATTAAATCATGTGTGCTTTGGAATACATTTAGAAAGAGCCCCTCCCTCACAAAGAATTTAACTCCATTATCTCTTAGGGATAGGTTACCACTTTGAATTTCCCCCAGCTAAATGTGACATAGAGTTCTTGCCACTTAAATTGTATCTAAATTAGAGGTGCACCGAAAAGAAATATCAAAAAATGTTAGGCCGATACCGAAAATGTTTATTATTCTAACTTATTAATAAAAATTGAATATTTAATTTTTTATAAACTTGTTCATTTTTTTTATATTTTATTTGTATTTATTTATTCATTTTAATTAAATATTTTAAATTTTTACTTTACTGTTGGGGGCTTCGGAGAAATATTGGGGGTCCAAACAGACCCCTGATATTTCCCTTTTAAAATAGAAAAAAAGAAGACACAGAGTCCTCGATCTCTTTTTCTGTGTCGTGTCCCCGATTATAAATGAACAGGAATCCTCTATACTGAGTGTTCCTGTTCATTCATCACATGAGGACATAGTGTGTTTACTATATCCACAATCATGAATGAACGGGAGATAATGTAGATCACTTCCCGACACACTGTCACAGGAGGCTAAGCAAATGGGGATCAGCCTCCAGTGACAACCCTGCAAGCTGTCTCCGCCCACGCCACTCTCCTCTGATCTGTTACAGGAGGCTGAACGTGTGCGGGGAGGAGAGAAGTCAGCCGCTCTCAGCGCTCTCCTTCCGCAGCGCTCTGCTGTCTGTGACGGTTTCTCACCTCCACGCTGCGACACAGAGCAGCGTCCAGTGGGGAGGAGAGAAAGAATGGATGCACCGCTATATCAGTCAGAAAATGCCATTTTGCTAAAAGTGCCATTTTCGGCCGATATGTTTCAGCGGCCGATATATTGGTGCATCCCTAATCTAAATCCAACACATTTAATCTAGTTTTGGATAG